TTTTTTTTTTTTTTTAAATTTCAGACATACATTGGACCGGTACTTATAACAGTTAATCCATTCAAAGATATGCCATACTTCACGGAAAAAGAGATGGAATTGTATCAGGGAGCAGCGCAATACGAAAATCCTCCACATATTTATGCTCTTGCTGATAATATGTTTAGGTAAAAATTTCAATTTTCTTTTCAAATTTGTTAAATTTTAAATATATGAATTGTAAAATTGTATGTTTTCGCCAGTTTTTTTCCCTTTTTTTAAGCAATACGTTGTAATTATAAAATTTAAATCAAATTTATCTTTTCTAAAATTTTTTTTCTTGTTCATTTTTGCTCAAATTTCATTCATATCATTTGTAAGCTAAAAAAATTTGTTATAAAATTTAAATGTAATCCATATTTTTTTTTTCAATTAATAACAATTATTATGTGCAATTATTGCTCTCATATTACATTTACATTCGTAATTATCATATACGATTTACATATGATAATATTATGATTAATAAAATGAAACAATTATTGACAACGTTGAAATTTCATTATCATATTTCATGAATATGATAATAGACAACGAAAGCCAATGTGTTATAATAAGCGGTGAAAGTGGTGCTGGTAAAACGGTTCAAGCTAAATATATAATGGGATATATTGCTCGAATATCTGGTGGTGGACAACGACTTCAGGTTTTGAAATTTCAATATTTGTTTTTTTGGAACATGAAGTAATTAGTTCTAGATGATATTAATCGTATTAGTAGTATATTTTTAAAAAAGTATTAGTAATATTTAAAAAATTAATAATATTAATCCCATGTTTTCTTTGTGATTTGCAATTTTTTTTTTTTTGCTCTTGAGTTCATTACTCTTATGCTTCATTAATTATTATGAAATCGTAGTAGCACAAATAAAAAAAACTATTTATTGCATTCAATTTAAAAAAAAAGCAAAAATTAGTATTATTAAGAAAGGAAAGCAACAAAAATAAAGCTTTTTGCGAATTCAGAAAAGATACTTTGTAAATTTTTGAGAAAAAGAAAATGAAAGTAAATTAAATTAGGTAAGTATTTTTTTTAACAAGTTATAAAATGATTTATTTAATAAAGTTTTACATTTTACATCGAATGAATTTTTTTTCTTGAAAAATAAAAATTTACATTTTACATCGAATGAATTTTTTTTTTTAATTTCAGCATGTAAAAGATGTCATTTTACAATCAAATCCGTTGTTAGAATCGTTTGGTAATAGCGCCACTGTTAGAAATTGGAATTCTAGTCGTTTTGGTAAATATGTTGAAATTATATTCAGCAGAGGAGGTGAACCAATTGGTGGAAAGGTAAATTTACCTGTCTGTTCCATTTGCTTCCCTGCTCTACTTGTAGAACTCTCGTGATTTCTCGGATATTCATTAAAATATTTTTAGAAGCATATAATTCTCAAATTTGCTTGTGTCCGATGATTTCCTCGTTGCAGTATTTTTACAGTCGTAATTTTGATAATTTAATTTGTAGGTATCCAATTTTCTACTCGAAAAATCCCGAGTAGTACATCAGAGTCAGGGAGAGCGTAATTTTCATATATTTTATCAATTATGCGCTGGAGCAGACAAAAACTTGAAAAGTAATTTTTTCTTTTCTTTCCAACTGTTATTTTTATAAGTGATATCTGATTCTTTTGTTTTCTATAAAAAATATGATAAGATAAGGGTTATGATAATCATTATCTATAAGAACCGGATAAAGTATTTAATTTTAGTAATTAATTGGCTAATCATTTAATGAGTAGAGCAACAAAGAAAAAAAAAAACTCTTTATTGGTTTTAAGAATTATTCTCTTTAAGCTAATCTTGGTATTACGACATTGGATTATTACAATTATTTGAATCACAGTGGTTGTTATACAGTTGATGGAATCGATGATGCTAAAGAATTTAAACAAATTCTCGTAAGTGATGGAATATTTAATAGAAATAAAAATTCAACAATGCTGAAAAATCTTGCTATGTAATTTAAAATGTAAAAGCAGTAAATTTTTTTTTTTTTCTAAATGGACAAACAAATAAAAAAATTTAACGTGAATTTTATTTATATCTTTTCCTGTGTATATACTTATTTATTTATTCATTTATTTAATGATTTATTTCTTCATTTACTAAACGAATAAGCATCTCATTTAAACAATTTTTCCCATAAAAATTATTTAAATTACTCAAATATGTATTT